AGTGTTATATAGATGTACTAATTGGAAATGAAAATTGTATCAAGAGTTAATCTCGATTAAAAAAGTCACCCTAGGTTCACCAATTGAAACGCTATAAGTTACATATCAATCTTTAAAATTTGTATGTACTTCAGCAACGTCTGTTACGATCTCTATCTAAGTTTATCAAGCTGAAATCAAATTCCAGTACAGTTTTAAATTTTTTTATATTCAAATTATATAAAAAAGTATAATAAAAAAAAAATAAAAATAGATAAATGAAATTCCAAACTAGTGTCAAAAAAAAAAAAACTTAAGAAATAAGAAAAGAGCGTTAAGTGTTTTTTTTTGACATTTTTATTATATATAGTTTGTTTTGTATTTTCCATAATCATTTTAAATTAATAATCAACATTTTAAATTTATTTAAATTAATATATATATATATACTTTGGTAATATATAATGCAAATATATAATATAATAGTTTTGTTTTTTTTTCCATTTGTATTTATTTCATTTAAATATGTTTTATATATGTATTGTGTATCTTTTTTTTTGCTTTTTATTGGTACATACCTATATATATTTATATACTTGTATGTATATATATTATTATAATTTTTTATGTCCGCCCAATGATAATAATCATTGAATATATTTTTATAAATTTTTTTGTTTTTATATTAAATTTTTACAATTTATATTTTATATAAATATTTTATTTGTGTTTTTTTATTTATAATTTTGCCATATACTCGTAATAAGTTACATTCATTTATTTATGCGTGAAACATTTAATTTTATTTATTTAATGTGAAATAATGATTTAGTTTTCCATGATTCTATTATATATTATATTGTACATTAAAGTTATCTAGATTTAGTTGCAACTGTGTGTGTATCGTTTATTCAGTATTTTTGTATATTATGTATTTGTATTTTTTTTTCATATGCTTAGGTATCTTTACAAGTCAAAAACATCTATTATTGTTAAAAATCAATTTGAATTACATTTAAAATATTATTAAGTTGCTTAAAACATAATTTAAAATTAATAAAAAAAGTAAATTGAAAATTTTTATTTAATTTTTTAATTTTTCTTCTTCTCAATATTACTTACCAATTTAATAAAATTAATTATAATTAAGCTTAATTATAATTATTATTGAATTTTTCACACTAAAATATTGTTTTTTTTTTGTTTATTGAAATTTTCATTAAAATATGTTTTTTAATATTTTACGAATATAATATATTTAATTAGCATATAACTATTATTGTTCTTAATATTTTCTCAAACATTTTGCATATTCAATTTTGTTTTTATATATATATATTAAGTCATTTAAACACTAAATTTTATTTTCTACATTATAATTAAGAACTTAAGTTTTAAGAAAAGAATTAAAAAAATAATGTATATAATTTTTAATCTTACGAAAAAAAAAAATACGAGAACTTGAAGAATTAGATGAAATTCCTTATGCTGGAGTGGTATTAGATATGTGCTTTATAAAAGCATAGTATCATATATAAAACAAAATATTTTTATGAGTGAATAGTTCAAAGTTTTTTGAAAATTTTTAAATTAAAATAGTGAATTAATGTTTTCCATAGTATATAAGGTTTTGCTGAAATGTCCCTGTATTTTAAATCTATTTAAAGTACGAATTGCTTTTAACATGCTAAATTCTTGCGGTCTGTAAATTTAGCTAATATACTCGTATTTAGCTTCTACTCCAATTAATGAAATGTACTTTTTTTTAAACAATTCGTAGATAAAAATATTCATCACAATATAAAATAATGCTTTATAATGCTTTATAAGTGTTTGGTCTTCCTCTAATTTCGTTAAATAAAAAAACTGTCATAATGAATAAAAATAAAATAAAAATAAAAATATTTATATAAATGAATTAGATAAAATTAATTATTAAATGAAGAAAATGTATTACATGTGTGTTAAATACTAAAAAAAATTATTTTTCTCCACTGAACAAAATTAAATAAATCGAATGCTCATAACCGATTATAATTCTTATATAGATTTTATATAGATACACACAATGAAACCGTCGCAAACATATGACGAACGAACTTAGATGAGAGTATTTTTTTTTTAAATAATTAAAAATAATTAATACAAAATCCTTTCTTAAGGTCGAAGCAATTTAAATTGTGTGGTATATTTTTTCAAAAATAGATCTTCGAAAGCAATACGAGAAACAATGTCCGAAGTCATGTCCTAACTTTAAATGCAAGCAAACTCTGATGCAAGCTTCATAAAATTATCAGCAAAATTAATGAAATCTGTAAATGGTTCCAAAGCTTCCTGCTTAGAATGAAGTTTAGACCAATAATTTTTTTTTTAAATTTAAATGATGATATCAATGTGGAGATTTCTAAGCTAACATAAATTTTGAGTTAATTTTTCTTGATTATTTTCTAAGATATTTTTTCCAATTACATATTTCTGACACAGCACATTTAAATTACTAAGTCTCTAAATTTATGAGTTATATGTGAGTGCATGTATTTTTGTTCTTTCGCGTATATATATACTGCATATATATGAGATATTAGTATATATATTAAAATATATATATATATATATAAATTAGCTATAAATTTGAGTTTAAATATGTTTCTATGTAAATTCAGTGCAGGTGACAACTTTTGATTGTATTATTATATATTTAATTTTTTTCTTTTTGGGGCTAACTGTGTTATTATGTACAAGTCGGTGACTAAGTGAAAATGTATAATTGTTAATAACCATGCTATACTTTAACTATAATATTGGTCTAAATAAACAGAGCAGAATTAAAATAAGTTGTATCATTGAAGAAGAATGGTATATCACCCACATTCTCTTTCTCTCTCTCTCATTCGTAAAGTAGCTAAATAATATAGGAAGTTAAACATAGGTACATTTACCTATGTCCAATTTTGAAATTTCTAAACGTGTTGTCGAATTATATACTTTTTTCTTATTAAAAAGTACTATATATTATCTGCAGGCTTGTTTTTGATTTTATTTAGTGATAAATAGAAAATGCGTTCTAGATTACATAGACATTTTGCTTATAATATGTTAGTAGCTCTTCAAAGTTGGTGCAAAGCAGCCATACTAATTCAAATTTATATTATTTTATGCATTTGCAACCTTCTAAAGGTGCCAGATATTTCTATTTATGATATGATATTTATACAATGGAACGGCTGTGTTGCTAAGTAAAGCTTTCGGACATTGTAGCCTCAGTATTTCACATGAGAATCGTTCTAAATTTAATTAAAAAAGAAAATAAATAATTCTATCCGCTAAGAAATAAAAAAAGTTTTATATATTAACACATTTTTATTTTCGTTATTTAATTAATATTAATATATATATATATATATTTATATATATATATATACGTACCTAGTTTACTAGTTTAAAGTATTATTTAATTATTTTTTTTGCTACGATTTTTACCGTTGTCCATTTTTTTTTTAAATAATAAAAATAAAAAATCAAATTTTCCTGTTATTATTATATTTGCTAACTATTTTTTTTATTTTATTGAGAAAATTTCTAGCACAAATAAATATGAAATAATATTTATAATTAATAAATTTACTGAATTGTTTGAACGTGAAAGTAATTAAATTATATTAACATATATACTAATATTTAATTACACTAAAAGATTTAACAAGTTTTGTTAATTATAATATAATTTTTATATATATATATTTTTTTTTTAATTTTTTGTCTAATAATTATTTATTATTTCTGATTACTTACTTTGGTTTTTCTTCATATGTTATAAGTAAACTGATATTTTTCATAGAAATCACGAGAAAAGTTAAACTTTTATTTGCTTTTATTATTTTTAATATATTTATTTAAATTTGTTTACTTGTTTAAAATTATTACTTTGGTTTTCTTTTTTTATTTATTTTTATAATTTATTGTTAGTCTATTATTTAGTTTGTAGCTATTAATTTTACACAATAATAATTAATATAAATATTAAGTTTGCTTAACTGCAGTTTTGTATTTTTATATGAATTTATCTCTTTTTTATTTACTTACACAATTATGATTATAATTAATAATTATAATTATAATTATTTCATAATATTAATAAATAATGTACATAACAATTTTTCATAATATTTCTTTTAAATAAATTAATAGGTAAAGAATTTTTTCTTAGTTTTCATTTAAATATATATATTTATATGTAACTTTTAATAAATATGTAACAGTTTCTTATGCAAAAATTAGGTTTTCATATAGTTTTAAATATAATAATACATTTATTTGAATTAAAAGAAACAAAATTATTATTGTATATATGCTTTTCTTTAGGTTTTTGTTTTATAAATTTTTTTTTTAAATTTTTATGCTTTATTTATTTAGTAAAATGCTGCATATATTTATTTTACTTTATCAACGATTGTTTCTTAAATTATATTTAATTTAATTACTATTTTTGTTTTAAAGTTGTTTGAACATAGCAGCACATGTAATAAACAGTAGCTTTCCTTTCGGTTTCGTTTTGTTTCCTTTTAATATTATTAAATTTAATCTATATTAAAATACAATAAAAATTTACTTCACGAAAGTTAGAGTAGATAGAGCTTAGCAAATCATTGGATTAAAGTCTTTTGACTATATCATTCAAATTCGAAAGCAGAATAATTCGTAATTAACCGAGCATTATTAAATCAATGCATTTAAGTACCGCAAATGAACTCTGGTAGTTTCTCTTAAAAGGATAATATGTGAGGGGTATTCCCATTGTTTTTGTACAAAGCTGCTAAGTTAGGCCAGAAAATTCTTTGAAAATTTAACAAATTAACAACAGGACTTTAATATATAAAGTAATATATAGATTTAATAATCTGTTATATATATATGTATATCTTTTTTTGAAACTTTTACTAGAAACTTTTATTGTATTTTTTAATATATATATATTTTTTATAAATTACATTAAAAGTTTTTAATTTGGAAAAAGTCGTTTCGTTTTACAAATAATTTAACATAGTTTCTGCTTTTAAGTTTATGCATGGAATTATTTATTTCTTAAATATTTTTATAAATTTGTTAGTTTATTTAGTTTGTATATTCTCTTATATATATGTATATTTGCATGTATGACTTCCATTAGATGCTGTGCAATAATTCTCACTGTGCTATTGCACCAGCTAGTTTCCAACGCAGAAGACTTGCTCACTTTATTTTGGAATGTCAATTTTGAATGATTTTGAGATCCAGTTGAAGCGATTTTCGATTTGACATTTAAAAAAACAATGCTAATTCAATGTTGATTGATGATTAATTTGTTGTCACAATTGATTGATTTGTCGAAAGACTGAAATGTAACAAAGTAACAGATATAATATAAGCAATGTATTTCAAAATATTAGCGATTAGGGTTAAACGGTTGAAGTGTTACCAACTACACATATCTGTAGGTATATCTGTCAGACTGCCTATATCTGTCTGACAACTGCTTATATTCTTTACAAGCTAACACAAGCATTTGCATGTAAGTTTTATAGAACAAAAGTTATGCGGAATGAAATTCAAACTTCATATTGTGATTGCATTATATTTGGCTGCAAAATCACAACCAGCTCAAACACCTTAAAGTTTGATCGTGTACCCCAACACCTCAAATAGTATAGTACATAATAATAGTACAGGCAGCGTCGCCAAACATTATGGTGATGCACGAAAAAAAAAACAGCAATATCATCAAAAATGGTTCGGAAAGTAAAGGGTCGACTTGAATGAAATCCATGTCGTAGTCGTAGTCAAATGACCAAAGAACTGAATATATCCCAGCGAAGCGACCGATGTATATTCTAAAATAAGCTCAAGGTAAAGCCTTACAAGTTTCAAAAGCCACAAGATCTTATAGCAAAGCAACAAAAAGTTAGACTCAAAAGAGCAAAGGAGCTCCAAACATTGTATTCTCTGATGAGAAAAATTTCCCCATTGAAGAGTACAAAATGATCATGTTTACTAAACTGAACGCACTGCCATTCACTGCCATTTAAGACTGCAATTGGCTACCCAAAGTAATTTTCTACCTTAAGTAATGGTATAGGCAGCTGTGGCTGTCGATTGGGATGCTCTCCAATCGTTTTCATGGAGCTTGGTTTTAAAGCTTGGACTTTAAATCGCATTGATTTATTATCGGGAAAATGTTTTGGATGTTGCTTAAGAGCGTGTTTTAGGCACGCAAACATTTTAGTCGTAGACCATGAACGTTCCAACAAGACTCGGCATCGTCTCATAAATATTGTGTGAACCAAGAGTGTTTAAAAAATCATGTTCCTCACTTCATTTCGTACACTTAATGAATTTCGAACTCGCCAGATACAAATCCGATGAACTATTGCATCTGAGCCATTTTGGTGAGGTGGAGAGCAAAGTGGGTACTAAAAAATATGACAATATGGATGTGCTAAAAAAAAGCCATTGTTCACGAATGGGTCAAAGAACCGGAAAAGCAATTATAAATATAATGAAATTAATTTATTGAATATTGTATAAATATATTTCAGATGGATATTAGAATTGTGTGTTTTTGAATCTGAATTTTTTTTTTGTGTACTTACCGCTTATTCTACTTTACTACTGTGTACGTGTGCTACTTGTAAAAATTCTGTGCTGGAACTCACGCCTTCCATTCCAAGTATCTTTCAAAGTACAAATCAATCAATTTTACATAACTATTTTATTTAATTTTTAACTATTTTATTTATTAAGATTGTTGCTGATTTTATGATTAGATTGGTTGGTTTTTGTTCAGTTAAAAAATATTTGCTCAAGCCTTATACCGTTCCATGTTAAGACAGCACAACAATTTATTTCATATTCTTCAGAATTTCATCGGTCTCTTCTGGGTCCTTGAGTGTATGCCATTGAGCAATTGGTCGTCGCGGAGAGGCCAACATATCTGACCAGTGTCGTAACTCAGTACCAGTAGCCATGCAACCCAATATGCAGCGTCCAATCGGTTCAGATGTACCAATACGATCATAATCCACAACAGTAACGACGAGACAGATTTTCTATGTTCAATTTTTTTATTTGAGAAATTTCAGAGAAAGAGAATGATAATTAGTAAAAATAATTTAAAAAAAATAATTTTCTAAACTGTTTGTATATCGTGGGTTAATTATATTTTTAAATAACACTTTTTTGTTGTTGTTTGTACGAGAAGAAGAATTTCATTGTTTGTTGGTGTTTGGATTTTTTTCTTTTATTACACTGATGATTTTTTTAAGTATTTGAGATAAAGAGTAGGGATTTGTGACTTAAATTTAGATAAGGAATTGTGGAACACACTACACTTGAACTTTAAAACTACTTACGGATGTGCTATACAGAAAGGATTATCAGGGGTGTTTGCAAATTTATAATTATTGTAACAGTTTTATGCAAATAAATGAAAAATAAATATTATTATATTATTAACTAATTTTAAAAAAATTTAATTGATTATTTTTTTTTCTTTCATATAAAATTAATATTTTCGTATTATTTAAAGAGAATTATAAATGATATTTTTATGTTTAAAAAAAATGAAACCTAATATATTTATTCACAATTGTTCGATGGCTATTATGGATTTTAAAAAAGTTCCCATAGAGCATTTTTTATGACAACAGTATTATGGCAACTATGAGTTGTAATGGTAGTCCTGCTATGTAAGAAAACGTCACTCCTACTATTTAATAACTATTTATTTTTAGTTTGAATTGTAAATAAATAAAAAAAATTAGTAAAATCTTAAAATACTCTTTTAAATAAATTATTTTGGTGTGCTGATTTAAAATTCCAGATATATATATAACCAGATATATCAGTATATAGTCCAGTCATTTATATTTTACTAGAAATTTACTTTAGGGAGAGTTACCCTAAAATTTAGGAATTTAAAAAAATTAGAGTTTATAAAAACTTTTTTGTCATATTCAATAGTTAGGATGTATTAAAAATGAATGTACATATATGTATATGGGAGAGGGTGCGGGCTTGCCTTAGCGCCTTAAGGTCTCTCTCCCTACTAGCGAAGTGCCTGATGTGTTAAATATTGTATATAAGGCCACATTATATATTTATTTACATTTACATTGGGGTGATATTCCAGTCTTAATTTTAATCTTTCAGCTAACTTAGGGTTTAGTTATGTTAAATCAACAAAGTTGATGACATAGGCATGATTTTAGTCAATATTCAGAAAAATTTTACCACTGCGAAATCGGTTTTTATAGAACTTAGTGGCGACATATCACAGTCTTAATTTTCATCTCTAAGCTAACTTAGGGATTGTGTTAAATCAGTAAAGCTGATGACATAGGCATGATTTCAGTCAGTATTTAGTTTAATATTAACACTGCGATATCGGTATTTATTGATCTTTTTTATATTATACTTGAATTATAAAGATACTGATAAAGAATTTGAAGTACGATCATAAATTTTGGATAAGAATATAGTTGATATGTTAGAATTGTTATATTTAAATAGTTAGTAATAGCAATAAAATTACAGATAAAAAATTTGAAGCACGGTCATAAATCTTCTTAAGGAAGCCTTTTCTAACATTTGTTATAATACATATTGGATAACAGGATATACAATATAAATATATATTAAAATAGTTATACATTTGTTTTATGATCCGTTTGTTTCTAACACAATCTGAAATTGATCATATATTCGGAAATATGCACTTTTCTTTTAGTTGTAATTTGGGATTTACGGATGGTAAGAAAAATGTGGTAAATATCCTATATTTTTGTACTATTGGAGATGTCGAGGATTTTTATATTTGTCTGCATGAAATTGTCAGTCCATAAAATTATCATTGTTTTTGCATACACATATGTGCTTAAAAAATAATTTTAAATATTGTGTAAGTTATATATAATATTTATTAATTTCATTAAAAACTTTTTTCTTTTTTGAATCAATTAAATTTTTTTTTTATATTTTTGAACAGAAAAAAATATTCACACTATTCGCTTATAGTTTTATATAGTTGTAATAATATTCGCATATGCACGGATGCATATATGTACTTATATGTATATACATAATACATATAGACATATATTATATACTCGTATATATGTTTGCATATAATATAGAATAGCATATATAGCACAACTGAAACAAAACGCTACATTAATAGTATGAAGCAATACATTTAAAATTGAAAATTTAAAATTGAAAATTCATTAAAATAATATATATGTATAAGAATAAAATGAAAATAAATTCAACTAATTTTGAATAAATTGCTTTACTAAAGGCGGAGGCAATTCTTAAATAATAGTCATGATGCAGTATTTTCCATATATCTTTTTTGCATATAGTGAAAAGATCGTGATGTTTAGTGATTGTAATGATGTATGTGGAAGGTATGTAGCAGTTCTTGCCGCTTTATTTAAAAAAACTTATTATCAAAAATTATTTTTAAATGAACAAATTTCTTTTTGAACTTTTTTTTGTTTTGGTAATATTCGTTTAACGTGTTAACGATGTTGCCATATCAACGAAATCATCTCTCTATTTTGCTAAATTATTCAAAAAGAATAGATGTTCATTAAATACTGGTAAACGAAAATGTATAATATTCAATCCCATTTGTTGAAAGTTTTCGGCTCATTTGATAGGTTATTGTATTAGTTGTTGTTAGTGCTACAGTTGAGTAAAATTGTTTTAGGTACTTGCTTTTGAAGAGTATCAAATCTGCTTCACAATATATATTTTATGTGAGGGATTAATCTATAACCTAAAGACGTTCTGACTTTTCTAACATATTCTGTATTCTGAAGTCCTTACTTCTAAGTGATCATAAAATTCCTTGTGCGTTTTGATTGTACCTAAAAAGGATCTTTGGAGTTTGTAGCTTTAACTTATTATTGGCGTATGTTGTAAGTTACTGGATATTGTATGTAAGCATTGGTAGGATGTATGTATGTATGTAAATGTGTTGCATTTAATTGTTAAGTAGCAAACATAACTGTTATTTCGTTAAAAATTTTTATGTAATAATTTCACCATTTCCTTGCACTTAGTGTAACCTTGCACTTAGCCCGATCCCGAGTCTGTGAATGTACTTGAAGCGCGTAGTTTTCGGTTGTGTTGTTGTACATTTATGAGTTCTTGTATTGCTATCTCTTTTCTGCTTGGTTTTCTCTATTATTGTATTTGCACAGTATCAAATCAGAAGACAGTGTCAAAATAATGGACCCAGGGTGGTTGGGCATTATTGACGCCGTTATATTAAAAAAAATATTAGGTTTGTTTTTTTTTCTCTTTTTTTTTTAGCAGTTGCGATGTTTTGTATTATGTGAAAATTTTAAACAAAAAGTGTGAATAAATAGAAAGATCCTTTTTTGTGTTGAAGATAAGTGTTAACAATATCCTGGCTTATTTTGCTTTTCACTTAATATTATATCTAATTTGTTTCAATTAGTTTTGGTTTGGTTTTTTTTAGTGTATCTGTTTAATTAATCCATCTTTATATGAATAATTTTTAAAATTTTTTATAGTGTAGTAAATTTTACTACAATAGGTTATAAACACATAGTAGAACTATTATAGTTCCACATAATTCGGTTTAAATATATATCAATATATATATGTAGAAAAATTCTATATTTTTATAAATACTAAAAAACATCAATATTTTTTGCCTCTTTATAATTAAATAAAAATATATAGTATATCAATGAAAATAAGCAACAGCAATTGAACTACCGAATAAAAATAATTATATTTCATATATATTTATAATATATATATATATTTGTATATATTTACGAAAAGGAAATATTTTAATTGTTTAATTACAACATTTAAATATCGCTTAAGAAAGTCGGTTTTATTTTATAAAATTTAATAAAAAAAAATAAAAAAAAATTTACGTAAAAAATTAACATAAAAAAGCAACAAACAAACAAAATAGTGCATTATTTGTAAATAACAAAATAATAATGAATAATGTTGTTCTAATATATATAATATTATTTTATAAACTAAAAATAAACTAGTGAATTTATATGTAAATTATTATATGTAAATTGTTTTATAGAACGTGTAAAGATTTTTTCTTTTAATTTAGTACAGCTTGTCTGGCCTTAAATATCAATACTTATAGTTTCAAATTTTTGAACCTAAATAAAACTTTTAGTACATTTGAGTATAAGTTTCTAAATCAATATAAAAAACCGTATTTATGTAGGTCTAAAATATATTATTATAGTTCAAATAATGTCATATTATACATATGTGAGGAAAAAAATTAGTTTCCACAGATACTAAAGTAAGCTTAAAGATATAACCCTCTAAAATTCTGTTGATCTTATTAAGCTGATCCAATTGTCACTTTCTAAAAATAAGCACACAGGAAGTTTATAGATTAGTTAGGTTGGGTCCCTTCCACATGATTGAAGAAGTTGCACGTTTTCAAAGTTGCTTCAAACTTCTAGCTTTATATTTCTCCTTTAGGTTTGGTATACGGATTTTGTCTTATCTGTGGTACCACAACATGCCATTATTTCAGTTTATGTAAGCTTTGGTGCACAAGGCAGTTTGCCTCTGTAAACTAATCTAACGTATAGCTAAATCTAAAGCAGTTGAAAAATTTTATAACGTTTCTTAATTGTTAATGAATACTATATTACTATCCCATATAAACAGAAGCAAAATAAGCAATAACATAAGTATTTATTAATCTTAAATGTTTTTTTTTGCTTATAAAAAAATTATACATAATGTAATATATAATAATATATTATTTTATTACGGCTAATGATATTACAATAAACTTTTATTATATATAAAATAATTGTAAATCTTAATAAGAAAATAAGTAAAGGAAGCTTTCATTGTTAAGACAAGAATATGCATTATTGATTAATATATCTTATAATAATTATTATATAAATATAAAGTAACGAAATGTTAATATATATTTAATGAAATAAAAATAAATATTTATAAAAATAAATTTTTGAAGCTTTTATAATGTGCATAAATAAAAATTGTAAAAATTAAATTAAATAAAAAATGAATAAAAAACGATGCATTGAAAGTAAATTAAAAAAACAATTATTTAAAATTAAAATTTTAAATTAAAATAAATAAAGAAATTTTTAAAATTTTAAAATTTAAATTTTAAAATAAAAAAAAATTTGTATATAAATTGATTTAAAAAAAATAATTAAAGCTTGTGTATAAATGTGCATAAATAAAATGTATAAAAGCTATATTTTATAAAAAACAAAACAAATTTTTTTAATTAAAATTAAACAAAATATTTGGAGCTATAATGTTAAATTATATTTTACAAAAAATTAAAAAATTTGCTTTTATAAATGTGTATAACAAAAATAATTGAAGCTTTTATAATTTGCATAAAGAAGACTAATAAAAATTAAATTTAATTAGAAAACGAAATTTTTATTTATATATAACAAGATAAAGAAAAAATGTATACATAAGTACAAAAAAAATAATTATTAATGCAATAATAAAAATTCGGAAAATTGGATTAAATAAAATACGAAAAGTAAAAACTTTTAATTAAATTAAAAAAATTTGTTTGCAGCTAAAATGTTAATTAATGTTTCATAAAATAAAAAAAAAAAAATTATTTGTATATTGAATTTAAAAAAAGAATTTAAGCTTTTATAATATGCATAAATTAAAGTCATAAAAATTAAATTAAATAAAAAAGAAATGAAAAATATTAAATAATTTGTAATAAAAATTAAAAAAAAATTTTTACAGTAGTAATGTTAATTTATATTTAATAATATAAAGATTAAATGTATATATAAGAGTATAAAAATATAATTTAAATTTTTATTGTCTGCATTAATAAGAATTCTAAAAATTGTATTAAATAAAATACGAAAAAATAAATTAAATGTAAAAACATTTAATTAAATTAAAAAAAAGTTGTTTGCAGCTAAAATTTTAATTTAAATTTAATAAAAGAAAAGAAAATATACAAAAAAAAATTCAAGCTGTCATAATGTGCAAAAATAAAAGTTATAAAAATTAAATTAAATAAAAAATAAAACAAATATATTAAACAGTTTTTAATTAGAACTAAAAAAAAACAGTTCGCAACTTGCCGACTTTACTTTAACAGAAAATTTTTAAATATTAAATTAAGCAATTTTATAACACTTAAAACACAACATAGAACATCGAACATTATATGGCACGACTAAAAGGGACTCAAATGAATTATTGTTTAAAGGGTTAATAGTGGTAGTAGAGAGTTCTTGAAAGGTTTGTGTTGCATATAAAGTACAACAATTACAAGGAGGAGAACTTAAGTAGTTTTTTTTTGTGAGTGTAAATATTTGTAGTTAATTTGTAGAATTTGTAGGAAACTTTTGTTGCATACTTGTCTAGATTGTTCATTGCTCAATTAATAATTTATTTTTTATGGTAATTAAGTTATAAGTTTTAATTTACTTTAAGTTTTCATTCAAACATTAACAAAGTTGCACGAAAAAGGCTAGTGAGGGGGTGGATATTAGTAAATAACTTATATATTGTTTTTAATATATAATTTGTGAGAGTATTTAGTTAAAGTTTTAGTTAACAGTATTTTGAGTGGTAGTAGTAGTACTAGTTGTTGTTGTTGTTTTTGTAAGAACAGTAATAATAAAATAAATAGTAGTTGTAGAATTAGTAGTAGTAGTAGTAGTAGTAGTAGTAGTAGTAGTAATATTAGTAGTAGTATTAGTAGTAGTAAGTAGTAGTAGCAGTAATAATAGTAGGTAGTTAAGTAGTATAGTGTTAAAGTAAAATAGTAGTAGTATTTTCTTATAGGATAGTATAATACATTCTCGCATACTTGTATTTGTTCAAATGGTACTTCAAATGAGAACGACTCATTATAGTAAGGGTTGAGGGTGCATTTTTTGATACTTGTCTTCTTCTTTTTCAAACGTTTTCCATTTTGCATGATTGCAATTTTCACATATGGATCTATAAAATAGAAAAAAATAGAAAAACGAATATAAAAACAAAATGTAATTTAAAACAAAAACAATAGCACAATTTTAACAATTTTTTAACAACAAATTTCAAGTGCACTGCTTTACAATTTTTTTTAATTATATTGTATATATAATAATATTATCCATCAATTTCAATAACTGAATGTTAATTAGTTTGTTGATTATTTTGAATTGAATTTATTAAAACAAATAAATACACACATAAAAAGTTAACATTAATTACAGTAATAATTTTGTAACATTTTATTAAAATTTTTATAGAAATTTTAAGCATTAATATTAAACAAAAACGGACTAACTAAACAAAATATTAATAACTAAGCAATTAATAAATAAAATTTTTATATATAATTATAATTGAATATTCAGTGATTATATGTATTAAATATATTCTGATTGATTTGGTTATTTTGCTGCATTATTTCACACATATAAAAAATGTGTGTTGGAAGGAAAAGAAAATAGGTCCCAAAGACCCTACTGTACTGCGGCCACAGATAGGTTTATAGAGCACTTTACTGTGTTAATATTTTATGTTGATTGTACACAATATTAAAATAAGCTTATATAATTAAGGTCAGAGTTATGTAAACATTTAAGTTTATTAACTAAAGATTAATATTTAAATTACTAGTATTCATTGAGTACAATTTTTACTTGAAGAGATAACTTCAAAAATTCCAAATTTAAATTTTCATAAATATTGGATATGGATAAATATTATAAGATAATGAATTTAATTATCCAGAGATCTCAGAGAGTTATTTAAAAAAAAAAATGATTTTTTCTGTTAACTGCATTATCTTTTTGGTTTTCTGTGTAAACGAATACACTTCTGATAAGAGGAAAAATCTTGAAGTGCTATAAAATCTGAGAATAACTAAGAAATATAACAATATATAGAGAATATAGGAAAAATAAATATAATATAATATATTATATATATCGTATAAATAATGTATAGGCGACAAAGTTGTTTTTAAAAAAATGCATCGAATTTAAATTCTATTAAGAAAATTACTTTAAGGGCTATAAATTCCTGTACTATTTTGGAAATTAGAGACAAAATTTTTTTGAAGAAGTATCAGAGCTTAAACTCTATAAAAAGAGGTATACAATAAGAAATATGTTACAATATGTAGAATTGGCATATACAGAAGAATGCTAAAAAAGTAAACGTTACCATTGGCAAAATAATCTTAAAATAATTAAAACTAAACAGTTCTGTTAATATTTTTCTTTTTTATATAAGTACAAATATTGACTTGAAACTTTTAAAAATGTTTATGAAAAAGTAATTGTAGAAGATGTAGATTTGATTAATGTCTTTAAATAAAATTCTTGAAAATATAAGAATAGAGACTAATGATCTCCTTACATGTAAGTTTAAATCAGTGGCTTTGAGAAGATTTAATATAATAATAACATAATTTTTTTCATAAAATTATTTATATACTATTTTTATTTATATATAAAAATATATAAATATATTTTATATTTAAAATAACTACAAGTAGCATAATTAATGCAGTGAACTACAAAGACAATTCGATAAAAAATATTTTGTGATACGTCGCCTTCTAGGCACAATTCTGGTTTGACACAATCTACTGGTATATAATATTACCACAATAAAATAGTTCACATGATAGAACTATTATAGGTCATCGAATTTCAGTTAGTAAATCTCGAAATACCATCTAACTATTTTTGTTTGTACTGTACTTCAAGATATCAAATTCTTAAAGAATATTTTTCTTATTCAGGCTCCAATCCTATTAAATTAAAGACATTTACTACTGATGTGCTATTTTAGTACAATCGTTTATACGGTAATGTTATTAGAGTAAGTGAATTTTGGTTTATCATCTAACTAGTTCTGTAAGTGTTGTGACTTTGTAGATAAGGAGGAGACTGTACTCCATGCTATATGTCACTGCCCACAAGTGACTAGAAGATGATTAAAAATCTTTGCAAATCACTTTCTGAATGATTTGACAAAGCGTAATTTAAATCGTAGAACTATTCTAACTCGTAGAATGTCAGTTAGAAAACCTAGATGTATATATGTATTTATATGAGAATAAAATATTTTTTGATGACACCCAGATAATGCGAGAGAATAAACTAGTTGAAAGATATGATTAAGCGAAGTAAAAATTATGTGATACGATGCTAAAATTTTCGTAAGTGTAATCACTTTTTTGTAATATATGAGAAAGGACATCAAAGTCCAAAAAAAATTGGATTCATGGGTTTATACCAATCAAAGCATTTTTTAATTTTTATATATTGATTTTATATAAAATATAAATTTGGTTTAACTATTAACAGATATTAATATATTATACCCAACAATCAGAACACTTTTCACTGGAATATGGTATGTAGGCAGAGTGCTCAAAACTTTTAATTATAACTAATGTTATATATGCATATTAACTTTTTAGATTGAACACTCCTTCTACTTTTTTGTTAACTAAAAATATATACTACGCCAAAAAAAAAAATAGTATATATAAGAATAACTTTTGAATGAAAAAAAAAAAAAATTCGCTTATAGAAATATATATATAGGTATTAAGCAACAACTGGGAAAAGAAACTAAAAAAATTTAAAAATTTGAAAATATAAAAATTTAAAGTTAATTTTAATTTTTATAAACAATTTACATAAAACACAAAGTTTTGTTTTCAAAAATATTAATATTCTGAAATACAATAATTTAAAATCGTTGTTTGTAAAAGCCTAGAAGAGCACGGATTTTGATATTTTCAACAGTTTTCAACACTGGCAACTATAGTGATTTGCTTTATTATAATTAAAAATTTGTTTATAAAAGATCTGAGCGAGAAACGTGCATAAATGCTGCTAATATTTAGTGACTTTGATTAAAAAAAACGAACGACTAAGTACTTATTAAGAAAAATAGGCGTGGCATATACCGGACTTAAATCTTATATAAAAGCGTAGTCATGCAATAAGAAGAAGAAAAGAGCAATTGAACATTTCCATAACAATCTGAAGAAGTTTTAGGAAAGCATAACAAAATTAATAAAATGGATTATTTTAAGTCCTTTCGCTTTAATTTCAACATTTTGAATTGCGGAAGAAATGTTGCCAGTGGAAAATATCATAGATGAACTGATGTTAAAAGGGCTGAATTAATTTTTTCTTTGCGCAAAATATATATTTCTCACGCATAATAAAAACTAGCTTAAAATAATTTAAACAATTCATTTAAAAAAAAAAAAAAGTTGAAACAATTATAATGTTTTTTCAATGCATATAATCAAAAATTTTATTAAAAAAAACTATTGTTTTAATAAATACTTAAGACAAGCAATTAAAACCTTTTTTTTTTAATTTTCTACAATTGTATTGAAAGGCACAAATCCGTAATAAATTTTGAAGTATATCTTTATTAAAATTTATATAGCTTTGTCGAGTACTTTATGGGATTGCTTGATACTCATTAACTATATTGGTATTCGCTCTTATATAAGAGGACTCTCCCATTAGACTTCAAATATGGTAGTTAAGGAGTTGTATGGTATATATTCATAAATATATAATACTATATGTAAATATATATTACTTATATAAGGTTTCATAATTCGTGGTTTTGAATTTGAAGCAATGCTTCAGTGACATATGTCAAACAGAGCTATTATCCAACGTATCTACAATGGATAGACACCAAAAAATTGGGAGTGTCTTGCAAAAATCTTGTTTAAGTTTAGCCAATGTGGGCGTAATATAAGGTTAACCATTTTATAATATAGATCAGGGTCGTCCAACGCACAGTCTTTGTTATATTTTGGTGAAACTACATTGTTTTATATTCATTGTATCCTAAATAAATGAATAAAAATGTTTTAAATAATGTATTATACTTCATGTTAATTAACCTTATTGACAAAGACTTTAGTATATATTTCTTTATGCAACGGCTCGAAGAACTACTAATATTAATAATGTTGATATTAATAGAATTATAAAAGATAAATTAATAACATATATAATTTTTTATACGGCCCTCTAACCTAATCAGTGATTTGTATTGGCTCACGATCTTATCTTGTCTGGATAGCTCTGATAGAGATCATACAAAGCGTAGAACCTTAGATGACTGAACAATAACGTTTTGGATGATAATTTGTGTATATCAAAGGCACATTTTTAATTTGATAAATGTGTTAAAAAATAAAACGATCGCTTTTGGGATAGTGAAAATTGAAAATTGAACTATTACAAGGTCATTGCATCTACAAATTATATAATATATATAATGTTATATAATCATATAATATTATAATTATCAATTTTTTATGCCGGTAGTTAGAGATATGGGTGAATATTGATTATCATTATAATGAGATTTATTTCCACTAAACTTTGGAGTGGCGCAAATGATTAAGATCTCGACGCTTTCGAGAAGAGTAAGTACGGCCAAGCTATTACTAGTTGTGCATCGACAAGTCATTGCAAATGACCTCAAGGGAATCAGTACTATAAAATGGGTCGTAAAGATGATTTGAATACAAGCAATGTATTGAAATTTTATCTGAATCTCATGTTTTGAGTCCATATATAAGAAATCACTTAAAAGTTTTGTAATTTAAAACAAAGTAATTGTACCATTCGCAACAATTTAATAAAATTTGAAAAGAAAAACCCTTAACGTGCTCAGAAATTAAAAAAAATTTTAATATATAAATTGGATATAGGTGTAACAATGCTATAATTAAAAGAAATTTTTTAAAAACTTATTTGCATAAAATTAATTCTTAAATATATATATATATGTATATATAAAATAAATACGTACAACACATTTAGCACTTTAAATATTTAATTTATATATATGTAATTGTATTTACATATATATAATTTCTTAGCGATGCAAAAATTGACAATACCTGTAGCAAACATTTTTACTTCTAACAAAAATTTATAAATTGTAAATAATATTATAAATTCTCTTTCAGTGTTTTTTTGTTTGCAATTTTCATATAGAATTGTCATAAGTTTTGCATCGCATTGGTGCCTAAAATTTTTACCAGACAATCCACCGACGTCCATTTTCTTCAAGTTCTTAGCCTCCAATATAACAACAGTCAATTTGCCAGCGGTAGGTACATAACGTAGTGAGAAGCAAATGTCACCCAGCTTTTCCTAAAGGTTCCATATGTCATTATTGAATTATCGTAAAATCGTAAAGAGAAGAAAAAAGTAGAAGGAGAAAAATTTATCGATTAATATAGAACTTTCATATTAAAAACATTTATGTATACAATTATATAAACTCATATCATTTCTAATAAATAACAACAAAAAAATATTTAACGCTACAACAACAATTCATTTAATTACATATTTATACATTTAATATTTTATAACACAATTGTATTTAAATACACATAATACGTTAACAAAATATATATAAATAAGTTTATATATTAAATAAAAATATGAAATATATATAAATTTAAAATTCAATTTAAAAAAAAATAAGAAATATATATAAATAAATTCATATTTTAAATAAAAATTTTTTAAAAGTGTATGAATATTTAAATAATATATAATTTTTTATGAAGTTATAATCCACATTTCAGTAGATTTCAATGCATTATCTTTTAGTGTACGCTTGTAGTGTACGAGTACATTTTTCTAAAGACTTCTTCATAGGTATTGTTAATAAAAATATTCTATTATATTTGATTTGATGGATTCTTAACATTTCTTTAACTTAACGAATTTTTTATTATACTAAGCCATACTAGAAGCTTCTCATAGAATACATTATAGTGAGCTTAATATATTTTTTTATAACGAAAACACTCCCTTACTAAACATATATTCTTTTTATTATTTTTCTGCTATCAGTTTTAACTTATAATATTGGTATTCCAACTGTTAGAATACTGTTTGCCACAGCCTCGACAAAAATCATTATAGGGTAGACTCAATCTCATAGTATGCCTTCCTATATTGCAGTGTCCCGTCAGCACAGATACCATGGAGCTGAGCAGTTTTCGCCTTAGTTAAAGTAGCTGACTATTTTAGTCTTCCATAATCGATAGAGAAATTTCTGAACAGTGAAAGTAATTATATAAGATAAATTTTTGCAAAACTCGAAAGGAGATTCTGATATATTAAATTAAATCAAATTAAACCAATATTTTTTTTTTGTAAAATGAACAATATATTAAATTGAAAGAAAACTGATTCAAGAGTAGATGTATCTTGAAAAATGTATTTTCTGTTATGATTTATTTGATCGCTATTTATAGCTACATATTGAACCAAAATATTGGTATTGTATGGCTTAGCCTTTAACCAAAATATTGGTATTGTATGGCTTAGCCTTTAACCAAAATATTGGTGTTGTATGGCTTAGCTTTAACTATACATTTTGAGCGACTTAAGGCAAAGCTTTCTACAACATTAATTAACATATATCTGCTAAATTTCATTTTAGTATAAAAGTACTATTTTTCAAGGTCTAAGAAGATTTTCTATTTAAAGTCAACACAATTCTAAATTATTGATCTAGACAATTCTAATGTTATCACTAAAAATTCGTTTTGTGTCTAGTCGCAACTGGATATTTATAGAATACTTGATTATTGAAAAATTATACTACTGCATTAGAATGTATAATCCCTAACCTAAGAAAATTGATTATTAAAAAATTATACTACTGCGTTAGAATTTATAATCCCTAACCTTGAAAATTGTATCTAGTCGCAATAGAACATCTATATACGTAGGTAATCTGTTGTTTCTTGAACGTATGTATATTGAACTTCTGATGAATCTCTTCTATTAAAGTTTTCACCTATATATATATCATAATGAGACATAAAACCATACTATCATAGATAATTTTGGTAATCACCTACTGTTGAGGGAAAATTAAGTGTACCATTGAAAAGAATACTTTGGAATTATGATGAAGCTTATGTGTAACAACGAAAACACAAAAAAAGAAAAGATTATATATTTCATATGACAATATTTTTAAAATAATTTAAATAATTAAAGAATTAATAAATAAAGTATTAGAAAAAAAACATAACAATTAATAACAATAAAGTCTTGCTGTTTTGCTTTACAACAACAATCATAATTACTTTCTTACTTGTACTGTATAAGTATATATTAGTATAAAATTTTGTTATAAAAACATATATATATGTATATATATATTGAGTACATAAGTAACTTGTATATTTTTTTTAGAGAACACACAATATAAACACAGAGAACACATTTTACTGCACGTCTTAGAGCTTCGATTCAATTCCACACAATATAAATACAAATATACACTTAAGTTTATATAAGAATCAAAATCAAAATAAGAATAAATTAAAATATATTTTAATAAATCAAAAATAAATTGTTTTTGTGTATTTAAGTATTAATTATCTGACGATAATTTTGGCATTAAACAAGTAAAAGATATTATTTTGACTATGTACCTCAGTACAAACACTTACGCTTAGACGACAAACATCTATGTATGTATGTCAACATATATGATTAAGTAGATGTATAGCAGTTAGTATATATATATATATAACTGTTAATATTGTTTTGTATTTATATGCTTTCTATATATCTCATAAATTAAATATTATTATATTGTTTTGATTAAATTTAATACGCCTTTCTGCTTATTTCTGAAGGTTCAGAAATATTATATTAGTCGTAATACTCTCTCTTACACCCAGCTCAAAATCACCAACAAAAACTGAACAAAATACAAAATTATTCAGTTCAATTGTTGCACGTACTTCACTAAATTTTTAATAAAATATTTTAATAAAATTATATAAATTTTTTCGCAAAAAATTTGTGAAAAGTAGCAATATTTTCTACAATTTTTATTTAAGTGTAACTACTTTACAAATGCGAAATTCAAATAGTTTTCATGAATTTTAGTTTTGGAACACAGCTTTAAGCTGAAAATATTGGGAATTTACAAATGAATAAAAAAGACAAAAATAATTAAAATTTTTTATTCAGAAGTAAATTTTACTAAAATTCCTTTCGAAAAATAAAACCATTAAAAATTACATGAAAAAATTATTTAAAATTGTTGATTTGTTGAGTATCATTCTTAAAAGAAGAGAATATAGCATGAGAATGTACGAATATTTAAAATGTAAATTTAATTTAATATTAAAAACAAGCGCTAATTAATTGGCATTCAAAATTATTTTTATTAGAAAAGTTAAATAAAAATATTTTATATAATATATATATATATATATGCATACACATATATATAGATATAAATATATATAGCATTGTTATAGTAAATATTATCAATACACTACTCTAAATCAAACCTTGATAGGTTGCTTTAACGGTTATCGTAGATATACCATATACCATAAAAAAATATATATATATAAAATCTACAATAGTATTTTTTATTTAATTTTTTGCCAATTCGTACATAATTTTCTTGTATTATCGTATATATGTACAGCCTGATGTTATTGTTATTTATGTACTTAAAAGATTTTAAAAAAGATTTTAAGGTGTTCTTATCTAACTTTAAGATAAAATAATATTTCCACTTACCTAATATAGTTTTTATGTATAAATAATAATATATTTTATTTTCGTAAATTTAAAAATGTTGGTGAATGGTTTTTCAAAATATAATTATTTGGCATTAAATTAAAAGTAATAAAAATAAAATAATAACAGTAATTTTTTTTTTTTTGGTAAATAAAAATAATAAATTTAATCAAATAATATATATATTCTATACATTTTGTTTCATATCGAAGCTCTTTCTAACATTACAGTACATAATAATTTAATATATTTATGCAAAATAAAAAAATAACACATATAAATCATATACGAATTTAACTAGTCTTATTAGAAAACTTGAATATTTAAGTAATTTTCTTATACAAATAATTTATTTTTATGCAATTATGTTACACTGAAATATCACCTTTATAAACTACAATTATCTGCTAATTCGGAATGCAGATTACGCCTCGAAGATGGGGAAACTAACATGCATATTCTTTGTGACTGTCCAGCATTAATAACACATAGAACAAACTTGTTTCATATGGAATTTCTGTCACCATAACAGAGCTCTTCTCTAGATTTATTTCTGGACTTTCTTCACAAAGCTTTAAAGGACGTTGTGTAATCAATAGTGAAATTGGCACAATAGGACTCTTCTGGACGTAGTATTAGCTGCTGGGCGATCTCACGCCTGAAACTTTAATTTATTTTTTTTTTTACACTTAAATTGTAATAATAATTATTATTAATAATTTTAAGTTTGTATTATGCACGTAACATTGTTGTATTTATACCATGTCAATATAGGCTTAGATATCTAAATCAAAGATGGTTTCTTAATAAAAACCATTGAAGTCAACTAATTCTCACAGTATGTTTAAGACTTAATATTTATCTATTTTTAAAGGGATTGCCATAAGAAAATATATACAGTTAATAATGTTAAGATCACGTCAATAAGTTCATTAAGCAAATTTTTTAATGAATAGTTCTTACATACTGCTACGTTAACGTAAAAGCAATGGAGTGTATGCACTGCATATCATATGGTTGAGGATCCACTTAAAATAATATAGCTTTTACTTATTATACATATCTAATTCATTTTATTAAAAAAAAAATTATCTCATTATATCCTATAAGTTTGAATTAACTTGAGTACAGGAAAATAAGAAGTAACTTATCTAAAATTTGTATGTTTTAGGAAATAAATATAGTTTTATATTCGATAATAGAACAGATTAAGCATGTAGAACTATTTGCTGTTTAAACTATTAAATCTTATGCCGTTTTAGTAAATTGAATTTCAATGGGTATTTTTTAGTGCAATTTTTATTTTCAACTCGTAAATTTCGAGCATGTTATATATATCATATATATAATATAAATGGCAACTTATACTACTATGAAAATGTGAGATTAATCTAAAAACATTCGAATGGGCAACAAAATTTGACAGATTAAGAGTAAATCTAGATGAAATCCAGATTTATCAATCTAAAACGCCATAAGAGAATGCTGAATATCCTTAATATTCTTAATATACGTGAACAATTTTTTAAAATTTAATTAATAAAATATATATTAGTTTATACAATTTTTTCAAT